GAGCGTCACGCCAGCTAGAGTGAGCTTGCGGCTGAACTTGTATTGCCTGATCTCGTCATGTCGCCATGGTTCGTTGGGTGATATAGTGTCTTGATGCTGTTTGTAGAGATTGCGGACGTGGTGCACATACGAGCACGGAAGATGTACTGTGGCATGAGATCAAATATCGGGCCAGTTCGCCTACAGGAGCCTCTCAGCGGAGATGGATCCAATGGGTCTGCTGTGCCCATATCGAACCACCCGTCGAAGTGTAGAATAAGCATCGCCGGCATCGCCGTGAGGACGACGAAACAGGCGGATAGACATCTTCTGGGGAATTCCAACTAAGATCGCCGCTAGCGAGACCTTGTGGGTGTATTGCAGCGGATTGCGTTCATGTATGGGAACGTAGCAGTCGTGGGAGGAGTGATCGTTGATGGAGCATATGGAGATGGGGACGAGAACGAGATGGAGAAATAGACGTCTGAGCGTCGGAATGGCAATGGCGATATGCAGAGAATCGGATGCTGGAACTTGCAGATATGCGATGTAGTAGGGGGCAATGTATGCGGAGTAGGGGTTTGCGGCAGAAACCGTGGTGGGTAACCAGGAACGTGCATGATCATACAACACTTTGAAGAGCCGGCGAGGTGAGGGTAGAAGCTTTCGCGGTCCACTTGAATGTGCCGTCTTCACTGCTGCCAGAGCAGAGACAAGACCGCGAATGCGGGAAGGATCTGCTGGAGATACAATGGCCGTGATAATCAAAACTTTTCGTCTGAAAACCAGATTTCCCTGAAAGTGGCGCTGTAGTTCCAATATCGCGACACAGGTGAATGCACGAGTCTAGGCGTAAAATGTGGGATACTCACCAGAAGATGCCTCGCTTGGTCAGTTTTGGGAATAAAGATTCAAGTTGCTGTTTCCACTGCTCCCCAGACGATGTTGTAAGGTGCACATGACCTTCCAAGCCGTCGCTCTGACTGTACCATATAAGCACGAATTCTATTCTGCTCAGCAACTCGAATGAATCGGATGAAAAATGATTGTCAATTTCTTTGTGGCGAGCAGACTCATGGAGTTTCAGAAAGTCCTCCTTTGCTTGATTCATTCGATATATGAGTGCAGCTGTATTCCAATGGACCACTATCACAATTTCTCGAAGCTGGCCTGACTTGATCGAAAGTAACATTTGACACAGTGTGTCCAGGCCAGAATCTTGAAGAGGACCAATAACTTTTACCCATAGTCTCTGCAGCGAGGTATGGTCAGTGAATGATGGCACCAAAGCTAGAGAGACTTTAGTTAGCAGAAATGCTTGCATGAAACTAGAGCGCACACCTGCAGTAGACACCTCTGTACCCCTCTGTAGTTCTGAGGATTGAAGATTGCATCGCAGTTCTGAGAGTGAACCAGACGCAGCATCCAACAATGGCTGCCAGTCCCATTTGTATTGTGATTGATTCGTATTTTTGACTCCGAGGTTGAGTTCCTGCAAGCGACCTGAGATGCAAGGATGAGCAAGCAAGTCGATGAATTTCTCAGGACCCATGGTTTGATTTTCGTCGAGTGACAAGGACCTGATGTTGACGCGATCGCGATATGAACCCAACATATCGCCATGGAAGCAGTCATGTGTGAATGACAAAAAGCCGCATGCGAGCTCGACGAGGCATGGCAGTGCGCAGACGAGATGCCCAAAGACAGTGATTGATGGGAATCTGACATCACAGACAATGAGGCGAGTGACGGAGAAGCCAGAGAGACGCAGGAAAATGTCGCTGTGCATCGTCCCGAGTACCCACTGCGATCCCCAGATTACGAGCGTCTTCAGCTGGGGCAGCTTGCGAGCGAGAAGAATCGCCGCCAGCGACAAGCTTGACATATTATACTTCCGATCGCCCAATATGGACAAATCGTGCGCCCTCTCCGACAGCTCGGGCGTCTGCTTCAGCTCCTTTGCATACGCCCTCACTCCCTTGACAGTCCTGATCCTGATGTCCCTGCGCAAGTGGAAGCGACAGGGAGGGTACCACGCTCGGCAGACGAGGCTGCACCGCCTCAAAGCACGCTGGTCGTCCCACAGATGGTTGATCCCATTCTCCCACACCTCGATCGGAAGCTGCGGCAGAGGTCTCGTCGCCGACGAGCCAGTCTTGCCCGCCTCACCCTTGACCTAATGCAGCGCAGCGCGTAAATAGTCAAGAACGCATGCGTGGCGCTTTCCCACTTACCGTTGGCGCAAGCCTTTGTACCTTGAGTACCTTGTTCCCTGAAGCTTTCGCGACGTGTTTCAGGTCCTGTTCTGAGGATGCCATAGTTGTTGTCGTGGGTAGTAGATAGTCGCAGGAATGACTTTCCAGGCCGGCTCTTAGGATATATGTATGAATCTCATCGAATTGCAACGTGCCTCCATATGCAACGTGTTGTAGAAGTTCACACACCGTCCACGGAACTGGGTCGCACCACACACAGCCTGTCAGTCAGCGTGATTTCTTTCTGAACGTGCTGTACACGCACCGCCCGTCCATCGATAACGCACAGCCTAATAGTGTAATTAGCGGAGGCGTGTCTGAGCAGCTGAGTCAGCCATGGACTAAAAACGATGCATGACTAACACGGTCATTTCATCTTCTCTGGGTTGGCATCTGCGTCCTTACCGCTCACTCGCATTACAACGCACAGACTCAGGATCTTACGTGCCTCACAGATGGATAGACATCCGGGAAGCTCATCTAATTTACAATATACAGCGCCCGACTAGAAGTCTCTCCGCGTTCTGCGGACGCTCCGGATTACGCGACGATTTTAAGAACAGAAAACCTTCCATTCTGCACAGCATCATAAATGCGCGGCACCTCAGTGAACATCGCAGCGGTGAGCACTTCCACGGGTCAGAGAGAGGGCAAGGAGATGGCTAGAGTGGCTTCGCGGCGCCACGCATCGTCACGTACACTTCTTATCAGGATATGATATCCAATTGATAAAATCAGACCACGCATAACGGAAAGTTTCATCAAGTTGATCACATCTCCGCACTTGGCGCAAACACCACGAGTGCAGTCATGAGGTTGCCTGCCCGTGATAGCCGCTGTGATTATACTACTTGTGTGTGATTCTTTATAGCAGCACCACAGTCTGCAGCGCAGGACGCACGCTACCGGATCCGCAAGACACAGGCGGGAAGCGCATAGCCGTCCGGGTGCCCGGATGCCTAGCAGCTGCGGCCATGGTATTAGGTTTGAGTAGAAATGTTCGTTGACGAAACGTTTTCATATCACATCCGTGACGCCAGGAGCGTTTGCAGACGAGGACAGCCATCTCGTGCGCTGAACATCTTGGCGGTGTTAATCGACAAAGTGGCCGATTCCTGAAGCTGCTGGTCAAGGGTTGAACCTTCGTCGAGCCGCATGCTTGTGCTGAAAATCGTCACCGTGGACGCGCACGGTGTTGGGTAAGAAAAGCGTGA